CAAGGGGGTGTTATCTTATAACTGTGAGGTGGACCTATGCAGCTTCGAACACACTGAATAAAAGGGGTCTCTCGCCGGAAGTGAGAAGAAGCCAGTGTGTGACATTGGTGCTAAGTCAGTCCTTTCAAATGGGTTGAAAGATAGCTGTAGAGAATAAATGTGTGAATTATCCTGAAACTTATCATCCGGTTGTCATTGTTATTGACAGCAGTTGTTAATGGTGGATCATGATCCAGGAGTTGTTAGTTTATTAACTGACAAACAGCCTGAAGTGCATATTTCAGTGCTAGTTCACAACTAAACCACTAACTTCTAATTCTCTGGCTCAGTCACTATGTCGCCCCCCAGCTCCTTCTCTCACTCCCTGCTTGCAACGTAAACTACTGAACTATCTGCTCAACTTGTGTAACAATACTCTCACCTTCTTCCAGCAGGTCTTACACAGATGCTCATTTACCCGTTACTGCTTACTACTGAGGAAGAAAAGACTGTTGTAGTATTTTTCTGTGCATACATATAATAATGAGCGCAGGATACCTGATCTCAGAACAGAAAGTGGAGTCAGTGTCAGCTTGACTCTGTCTCTGTCTGTGTAGCCAGTTGTGTGTGGAGAGTTGTGTCTTACTCTATCTCAATCTGTGTTTGAATCAGATTTTTACATGTGTAATACCTGGGAATCCAGATATGTTGAACACAGCTATTTTAAATGAAGCAGTAAAACAAGATGTATTTTTATTTATTAGGATGTAGGCTTTAAGTTTGTGGTTGTTGGGCAGTTGTCTATTCAAGACAATAACAGCAGCATTGCATTAATTTAACAGGAGAGCTCTTTATGTAGTTGTTTTTTGAAATGTTGATGATTATTATTTTAGTTAACACCTTTCTAATGAGCAGCTGTTCTCCATGAGCTGTGTGTGTGTGTGTGTGTAGTCGACGAGCTGCAGAGACGGAATCTAACATGTGGGTCAGTGATTCTGTCTGACTGACATGCTGTAGCTGCTTGCATCATTCCGCTTGTTTATCACGTTTTTATTGTCTTTTGTAATTAACAACAGTTTTATGATCACAAGCAGGTAGACGGGCCTGTGTGTATGTGTGTGTGTGTGTTTCGTCTCTGCCTGGTTGTTCTTTTCTGTCTTTAATGAGCCAGAGATTGCTGTTATTAACTTCTGTGTTTTTTCTTGAGCTCACACATTTCTAATGAACAGCTGCTCTACATCTGAGCGTGCTCGTCAGCACGCACGCCTGCATGCACGCACACATGTACGCACACATGCACAGCAGTTCTGGGACTCTTTTTTATTTTATTCACTAAAAATGACTGTATATATACAAAACCGCACTGTTAGTGTTGCTGATCCCGTAACAGGGTCGTGCGGGCACCAGCAGAGCTGTGTACCAATGGATTCCATCACCAGGTCTCTGAATCCACTGTGAAGAACCTAGGTGTTATGTTTGATGAAGATCTGTCATTTAACCAACAAATAAGTCAAACCTCCAGAACAGCTTTCTTTCATCTGCGTAATATAAAGAGAATCAGACACATCCTGTCAAAACAGGATTCTGAAAAATGGATTCATGCCTTTATTACGTCTAGGCTAGACTACTGCAACTCCCTATTATCAGGGTGTCCCAGCAGATCCTTAAAAACCCTTCAGCTGGTACAGAATGCTGCTGCACGAGTACTGACAGGAGAAGACGGGATCACATTACTCCTGTCCTAGCTTCACTTCACTGGCTCCCTGTTAAACAAAGGATAGAGTTCAAAATCCTCCTTCTGACTTATAAGGCCCTCAACAATCAGGCCCCATCATATATTAAAGAGCTCTTAACCCCTTACTGCCCCCACAGACCACTTCACTCCCTAAACTCTGGACTCCTTGTAGTGCCTAGAGTTACTAAGAGTAGARTGGGTGGTAGAACTTTCAGTTACCAAGCTCCTCTCCTTTGGAACCAGCTCCCACTCTCAGTGAGGGAGGCAGACACAGTCTCTACATTTAAGGCTAGACTTAAAACCTTCCTTTTTGATAAAGCTTTTAGCTCAACCCTGAACCATAGTCATCCATAGCTATGCTGCTATAGGCCTACAATGCTGGGGGATCACCCATCAGGCACCAGGACCTTCTATCTTCCTCTCTCTTCTTCACTCTCTGCCTGGTTTATTTTGTTATATCTTGTTTCATATCTCTAACTCCTTGGGTCTTCTCCCCCCCTCCTTGGTCCGTACTGTGCGGCTCTCCGGAGCCTGTCCTGGCTCAGGTCCCGATGAGGGATGGACCTAGTGAGGTCGCCGGTCTGTCGCAGGGCTGACATGGAGGGTCACGCAACAACCAGCACTCTCACCTGAGGACCATCTGGAGCCTATGGTTCACCTGCTGTGCATGTTGGTCCATGAGGGAGGCAGGAGTGCCCGGGGGAACCTTGGAAGCCCATGTCCTGAGACTGTGACTCCTAACCCCAACTGGTCCTGGCAGAGGCCGTCCACACCGAGCCCGGTTCTGCCAGAGATTTCTTCCACCTGGGAGTTTTTCCTCCCCGCTGTTGCTCATGTTTGCTCGGTGTGGAACAAGTTGGATTTAGTCTTTTTTAAGATCTTGGACTTTTGTGCAGCACCCTGAGACAACTGTTTGTTGTGATACCGTGCTATATAAATACATTTGATTGATTGATCGAATGCCCATGACTTTTGTGTAGTATCTAATTTCAATTGCTTGGATTTTCTTTTGTAAATCCGCTGTAAGGGTCTACATCTCAGATGCATATCAAAAGACGGAAATACAATGACAGGCATGAGCTTCAGTTTGACTCTGAGGCTGATGTTTTTGTCTCACGGACAGGTTTTGCTCGTTCTACTGTTGTCTGCACAGCTGTAGAAAGCATTTTCCTCTTTGACCCTTTTTTCACTGATGATGGTACCCAGGTTTGCTCAATGTTTGTCTGACAAACTGACACAGAAATGCAAAGGTGTTAAGGGTGCTGATATCCATCATGGCAGCAATATTCATCTAGAATCACTTCCTCTTTAGAAATTTGTCAACAAAGTAAAAGCACAATGTAGGAACACACATCTCGAGAACCGTTTATCTAATCAGCTTTACACATGACGTGTTTTATTTAAGGCCTACAAAAGGGCAGTGTTTCATTTGGTGTGATTTATAAATAAGTAAATACATCAGCTTTGCAAAACAAATATTAGTAAAAGCAGATATAGTCGATGAGAGCAGATATAAAGAGTGTGGACTGGTACAGAATTCAAAGCCTTTGCTTATTTAAAGGTACAGTGTGTAGAATTTAGTGATATCGAGTGTTGAAGTTACATGTTGCAGCTGAACACCCCTCACCTCACTCTTTCCTTCCGAACATGAAAAAGAACCTGAGGGAGCCTTTAATTTTCATAAAAACTCAAAAGGTGTTTAGTTTGTCTAGTCTGGACTAATGTAAAAAACATGGCAGCCTCCGTAGAGAGGGTCCCCTTCCATGTAAATATAAAGTATTTAAATATAAAGGGTCTTTTCTGGGGTAAAGAAAACTACAATTCATACAATTTAGATGAAACAAACTAGTGAAAACTTCATGAGAATTATTCTACATAAAATTTCTGCCAATAGTTCCCTTTCACCTAAATCTTACACACTGGACCTTTAATTGAGAAGGGATATTGACTGAAAGCAGATTTTATGAGATTGTAGTAGTCCTCTTGTGATTTCTCTTGTTATTTGATTTGTATTTGAGTGTGCAAAACAGTTATCCTTCAGGGATTCAGATATATCAGATATCTCTGTCGATTTTCTTGTCCACACATCTTGCCCTTTGACCTGTACTTTGGCTATCGACCTTCTGTGCTTTCCATGCAGAAGGATGAGATTCTCTCGTCTCTGCCAGTGCCTCAGGTTCTGGAGGGATGGTCACAGTGCTCGCCTCACTTGGTGCACATTGTCCTGCATTTGGTTAATCTGTCTAACAGAACAGAACCAGGAACAGTTTTCCCCTGAATAAAAGCTCTTCATATGTTATACCAATGATATTGTAATATATGTATACACATCTATCCAAGCCTTGAAGTGCCCTGACTCTAAATGTAGTCTCCAAATGAGCACAGAGTTAATTCAACACCTTTGACACAGTGCCAGCTTCACAAAGACAGGGTTAATTTCATGGTAGTTGTGGCGAACTTTATCACACAGTATAAATCTGTGTATTTAATAAAGTGATAACCGCAGCCCCCTATTGTGACACTGAATATTTTGTCACTTGACTAATTGAGCCTTAATTCATCCAAAATGAAGGAATAATTAACTGCACAACAATGTCAGTCACCCTGTGTCTATCTTCTCCTCCCCCTCCACTCGTGGTCTGAAGCTGTAAGTATGTGACAGACAGGAAGTCAGGTCATAAAGGTGTCAATGTGTCACCTCATCTAATCTGTTCCCATTTCAATTAACAGATCTTTGCTGTACAGTATTATCAGGGCAGATTTCCCAGCATGTGGTCCTGTGCTGCTCTTTCCTGGCTGCTATTTCTCAGGTTTGGCAGTGCAGTTCAACACTATAATCATAGCTTGCAAGTCAGGGTGAAAGTCAGGGTGAAAGTCAAGATCAAGTTTTGTTGCATTAATGGATCATTGCTCTGCCAGGTTTTAAAATCATTGTTTGGTTTTGGACCAAGTTAGAATATTATATAATGCCATATTATGACAATAAAAAGTCCATGCTTTTCATTTCATTGAACAACAACTTGACTCTTTTGCAACTTTATATCTCTTGAAACGTTAAGACCTTTCCCGATTAAATTGCTTCTTTTTTCTCATAAGACTTTGTTATTAAATTGCAACTTTATTCTCGTAATATAATAACTTTATTCGTAATTACTATTCTACAAATGTAATATCATGATCTTATTCGCGGACTGTCAGATTTTTTCTCCAATATTTCACTTATCCTCCGTCGTACTTTTATTCCAAAGAGGACAAATAATCAACAGGAAGTCGTCAGTGGCGGAACTCCAGAAACACCGCTTGTTTGTAGGGGGACTCATAATACGGCTGGACGCAATGTTGTCCCTCAGGTGACAGACGTGTTTTTAAGGTAAGTGAGACTCTGAGCGGAGAAAGATGAAGACAGGATGATAACACGTCTACGTTACTATTCAATACAACGTTTCCGGTTTCGTGAACGTTCAGCGCTGGTTTCACACGGTTCATCTTTACTTGTGTGACCGAGCTGTTTCCTTCCGACCTGAGCACATCTCTGTGTATGTTAATGTCCATTTATGATTCTTATAATCTTAAGATCATAAGCTCACAGTCCTAGACTAATAACTTCAACATTTCCATTTGTAATGTATGTACAGGACAGTTATTTTGTTCATCCGTTGATCTTCTTGTGAAACAATATAATACATTTTTTAAAACTATGAGTAGAAACCAATTGGTCTGTAAAATGTCAGGATGGAGAGAATACCCATCACAGCACAGGCAGCTGTAGCTCAAGAGGCAGAAAGGGTCCTCGTGCAAGATACTGAGCTCACTGTGTCCCTGGCGGCTGTGCTGACAGTATGTGATGGTGTGTGACAGGGAAAGCACTGGGTATAAAAGCTCTGTATGAATGTGTGTGGATGGGTGAATGTGACCAGTACTGTGCTTTTAGTTGTTGATAAGCACCACATAAAAACAATCCATGGATTATTTACAATACGATACGATATGATATGTAAACTAGGGCCGCACAATATATGGAAAATATGTGGTCAACACGAAAAACATGCACGATATCTATCATAGATGGTGTTCCATGTGCCATGCATTCACGCTCTGCATGTCAATATATTTGGCCAATCAGATGGAGGCCTGATGCCGTAAATAATAAATTAAAGATATTTAGTTTGCTGGCGGTTTTTTCCATCAATGAGAATTGCAATGCCGCTCCCTCAAATCTCGCTCTGCCTCCAACAGTGATGAACATTCATTAATGATAATTATCATAATACACAACAACACATTTATTTGTGTAGCCTTTTTACCAGACATTCCATGGGATTAGATAAAAAGAAGATACAAGTGAATTCAGTGTTGACTGAATGAAGAAATGAAGAACTAAAGATTCTGTCCAGAGGACATGTGTATGTGAACACAAATACCAGAATGAGATCAGGATGAAAAAGTGGTGCCATATTTATAGAAGACTCTGACAAAGATGTCAAGAGGGATGCTGGTGCTGGTGTCGATGTGCTGTAAACAAAGTCACCCAGTCTCTGCAGCAGAGTTAATATGTTGCGTCCTGCCTCTGTCTGCTGCACCACCCCTCACCTGAATCCTGCAGAGGATTTGTTGCTGTTGTGTACATGTCTGAGCATGTGTGAAAGGCAAACTGCTGAAAAGGTCCGGATCAAAGTCTCCAGTCTTGTCTGTAAAGGGCTTTCGCCAGTAAATCTCATGTTCGTCTCCACTCTTCAGTCGTTTGCAGTTCTGACTTTTCAGAATACTTTGTTTTAAAGGAGTTTATCTGTCGTGGCCTATGACCTTTGTACCCTGCACTGACCAGGCAGGTTTCAAGCACATCGTTGTCATTTTGTACTGTATATGCACCACATGCAGCTCTCGACCCTGTGATGCATTAGCTCTGTCAGCAGATGTTTGTGTAGATGCATTAGTGTGATGTCAGTGTTGTGCTTGAGCAGGGATGTGTGAAGCACAAAAGAAGGACCTGTATGCTGTCCTGGGAGCCAGCCCCTCAGACTCAGTCCAGCAGCTCAGACACAGATACCAGCAGCTGGCCTTACAGGTAAACACACCACGCGCGTGTCTGGCTGCCTGATTGTACAAAGCAACTGCTCCAACATTCTAGTGTCTCTACAGTGTTTGAATCTATTAAATAAAAGGCACAGTACAAGCTAAGCCCAAACACAAGTCACATCTGACTGATGAAAAAGATTGTTTTCCTGTGTTGTGGTTCATTCAGGAAGAATCAGCTACTGTTGAAATGTGAATAATTAGTTCAGTATTATTACCTTCATTCTTATATATTTCTCAAGTCTGTCTTAATAGAGCACACACACTCATTAGCACATGTTAATAGAGGAAGAAAAGTCATTTCTCCTGATCACAGTGGCTCTAAAGTCATAATTACATGGTCAAATATTAACAAAAAATCCAACAAAGTCTGTGCTCAGTGTTTCATTCTGAATTTTAGCTGTAGATACTATGAGCCTTCAGTAGCCACAAGTTTGGGCAATCAAATACATTCCACAATGACAGCCTTTTTAGTATGAATATTTGTATGTGTTTGTGCACAGTACCACCCAGACCGTCTCAGGGGTGAGTGTTCTTCAGAGGCTGAGGCTGGTGTAAAGAAGTTTCTGGAAGTTGATGCAGCCTGGAGGATCCTCAGCGACGAGGACACCAGGAGACAGTATGACCTGCAGAGGAGAGGTAGGACATCATGTTTTACTGGGATAATGCATGGGAATATATGGAATAATACTGGAGCTGATGCAGACACACAGAAAAGTAGGTGGACTTAGCTGGGTATAACTATAGTGCCAATACAAATCTTAGGTTCTAAATGAAAAATGTAAAAATACAATATTAAACACATCAAATCTGCTTACATGTGTTGGAAAGTCTGACTGCATATTTAAAAAACATTTGTATAAAACTCTTGAGACACAAACTCTGACATATTGACTCATTTGATATCACTAGTGGCAGCGTAGGTTGGGAAAAGTTTGTAAATTAAAAAGAATCTGGGTGTGTGATAGTGTGCTCCTCATCTCCGCTGCACGGTCCAGACCACGAGCGGTATGACATACCATTATTTCATGTATAATAAGAAACTTTTATCATATAGCACTAAACTAAACAAAGTTACAATTGCGAAAGAGATAATCTATTAGACTTGGAACTGAAATGAGCTGTAGTCAGCTTGGATTCAACACATACAATGGATTAAAAAAAAAAGTCATAGAATTTTGACAAACATCGTGCAGATAAAAAAACAGAAAGAAATAAAATATGTTTTTGTTTTCTCTCAGTAAACATGAGTACATTCTCCCTGAAAGCTCCAGCCTCTTCCTCATTTATCCTATTTCAAATTATCACAAGTGTAGCTGCAATTATTCCTCATGCTAATTAAAACCCAAGCAAAGTTTAACACTAATTATTCATGGTTCAAAGTCATTATCACTGTCAGGCCGTACAACTTGATAATGACTCCTTCTTTCCTCAGGAGTGAACTGTGAAAAATCTGTCTTGTGAAAATCTGTAAGCCCATCCCTTTATAATTTTCTATCCACTAAGTTTCTGCCTGCTGTATTCTTGTGTGGGCAGTGTAGTGACCAGGGCCTCGCTTTCCAAAAGTAACTTAATTTGTGGTGCGTATACTGTCTCCCACCTGCTCAGGGTTCATCCCACCTCTCATCTAACAACAGCTGGGATTGGCTCCAGCCCTGTGCAACCCTAACACACAACAGATAGTGGGAGAGAGGGAGGGAGGGAGGGATGAATATAGTTTGCCTTACACTTACATACAGCAAGTCTAATTCAGAAATTATTATTTTAGAATCATATTTTTTATATAAACTTAACCAAGGAACTTTTTTGCTCTAAGACAATGAAAGTTCAGTAAGCTTGCTGCCAGTTAGTGGGAGATTTTTTTCAAAAAAATCATATCCTGACCTTTTTAATGCACAATCACATTTCAAGATCTTGTTTGTAGTAGAGCAAAATGTGAAACTGTCAGTAACTGCACTCTAAAGTGTTGAAACTATGTTGTGGTCCCACCTCATCTAGACTCTGAATTCAAAATGGGAACACATTAGTGCTGCACGATGTGTCGAATATCTATGAGCTCTGTCAGATCTCGCTCCGCCTCCTCCTGACTAAATTCTACTGTGGAAACCTCTAGTGATCACATTTGTCCTGAGTCAGATTCATCACTATGAGCAGTTGATTATATAAAAGAATTGCAAAGCTTATTTATGATCTATGACCCCCCCCCCGTACGCTCTGTTTGGTTTGACGCAGTTGGCAGAGAGACACAGAGAGGAGCATTTAATGACTGACAGAGTAAAAACTGTAAAAAAAAATTACTTTCCAGAGTCCAAACATATATGAAAAGACCCCACATCAACACTGTAAGTGAGCTTAGTGGAGCTGTGCATGGCTCCCTGGTGTCTGCCCTGGACTTGGTGCAGCCAGGCTGTGCGCCTTCTCCCCTGCTGTGGAGCTGTCCATTGGCTCTTCGTCTGTAGCCAGGCACTGTTTATGTATTGCAAGTCGTATCGTCATCGCGATATTGAACACGATTGTCGCATATCGCATGTTTTTCTAATATCGTGCAGCCCTAGAAGACATCAGTGTTCACAGCAGTTGCTGTTATAATAATGCTGAACCAATGCTTCTTCAGCCCAGGAATTGAAACAGGATTGGCCTGTAGACTCTACAGTCCATCTGGAGGACATGACCTGGGACCAGGGTAAACACACACACCACACAAATCTCTAATATTTTCACATAAATGTTTTAAAATAATCAGAAGGTTTGAGTATTCTAAGGCATTTACAAATACAAAAAGTTATGTAAAATGATGAAGAAATATTTGAATTATTGATCTGAGCAAAGTCAGACTTTTAAGTGTCCTCTCAGTTTGAGATGTGTGTCAGTGGCAGCTGACTCTGGACTCTCTCCTCCATCCTCCTTGATCTTTGACACCATTTCTCATAATATTCTCCTTAATAGACTAGCCTCCATTGGCATCCATGCACACCCTTGGACTGGTTTAAATCTTATCTCTCTATACGCACTCAGTTCATCCAACTCAAATCTGTCAAATCCCAGCCATTTCCAGTCCCTGCTGCTGTTCCCCAGGGTTCTGTCCTGGCGCCCCTTCTGTTGATCTCTTGGCCATATCTTCTGTAAATTTAACACCAATTTCTATCGCTATGCGGATGACACACAGCTCAACCTGTCCACCAAACCTACCTCTATCCTCCTGCCTACCTCCCTTTCTGGTTGCCTACAAGAAATCCAATCCTGGTTCTACTGCAAGTGATAGAACCTTATTGGTACCAAATCTCCGCCCGTCCCTCACACCCAGCAGTGCCGCCCTTCTTGCTCACACCCTGATTACATCCTGCACTGGTGACTGCAGCTTTGGTCTCCCTCACAAATTCCTTCATAAACTTTAACTAGTCCAGAACTCTGCCACTCGTATCATTTCCAGAACCCCCTCCATTAATCACATCGCTCCTGACCTTCAGCAGCTTTGTTGGCTCTCGGTCAAACACTGCATTGTTTTAAAGATTCTGCCCCTCGCCTTTAATAAGGCCATCCATAATCTCACTACTCTATACCTTTCTGAACTCCAGCACATCGACACACCCTCCCGCATTCTCAGGTCCTCTTCCTCAATGGGATCTAGAGCCTTCAGCTGCTCTGCTCCCTGCCTCTAGAACTCAGGAACATCCGTAACATTGACCCTCTCCATTTTCATACCTGTCTCAAAACCACATTTTTAAACTGGCGTATTCAGCCTGATTGTTTTACATTTGGCCACCCTACATAATGTTTTATTCACTTTTAATGTTATTGATTGTTTTTTTGTGTGTCTTTTTTCATCTCTGGCTTGTAAGGTGACCTTGAGTGCTGTGAAAGGCGTCTATAAATAAAATGTATTATTCTTTATTATTAGTAATAGGAGGGTGAGAAAAGAACAAGAGAGAGAATGATCCCTCAGGGAATCAAACCCACAGTGAAACAGGGTGGTGGGATTATTCAGGTCCACAGGTGTATTGCCGACTCTGGAGTCGGACACCTGCACTGATCTGAGAAGCTCCAAGATTCTTCAGAGACAGGCCACACCTTTAGTTTGCATGTTTGTGGAGAAGGAGTTATTTTTTCTGTCTGAGCCTGAGTCATTCAGATTTTTTGCATCCCAACCTGACCTGGGCCTGATGCAGTGAAAGTAAAATGCACTGAGTTTGTTTTACTCTGTCCCTGATGGAAATCTGCAGTGTAAAAAATCTGCCCAGTCAATGTGACCGACCTGAACCTGAATATTATGTAAAACACTTTGTACGAACCCGGCCTGGCATGTCTGGTCCCGTCAGGCTTGGGTTTGTTTATCCACAGCTGCTCGGTTGAGGGTTCACCCTCAGTGCTGTGTTTCCAATGATGCGCTGTTTGAGATCAAATAACCCTGTGCAGCCTGCCCACTCCCTTTCTCTTTTCTCCTCCCCCTCTCTCTTCTGTGTTTGACAATATTTCTTTTGCCATCAGATTTGAGATCAAACAATTTGTTTTTATTTCAACTGTGCGACTTTCTCCAGATACAGCACGTTACTGTATCCCACGTATCGTTATTTTTGTCATTTTGTGTCTACTGCTGACACTACAAAATTTGATTCAGCGCGCCACCATATTTACATTTTTGTTTAGACATTCATGAATTCATGAATTAGATGTAGAGTTTTCTTAAAAACTTTCTTAAGAGCAAAGTCAAGAGAAAAAAGTAAGAAGGTATTGAGAGGTGAGGCCCAATGAGCCTTAACACACCTCAGAGTCCAGAGAAGAGCAGGGAGTCCTGACTCTTATAGACTGCCCTCCACATTTACCTGACCTCATCCACACTGATTTTTTATGGGGACACTTCACATCACAGGAGGCTCTGTGGAACATTGTGAGATCATGCTGGGATAACATGGGTTACCATGTTATCCTAGCACGGTGGAGTCCGTGACAGCTCATATATATAAGCTGTCAATAAAGAAAATAATAAGATAATGTGAAAGTCATGCTCAAAGATTGGACTGTACATTGTTAAGCTGATATGATCATTTCTAATGAATTGGTATTAGATTTGAAACTTCCCATTCTCTTGAATGAGACAATAGTCTCAGACTCTTTTGGCTGTAAATTCAAATAATTGTTGTCAATTTTAATAATGAATAAAGGCAAATCTCTTTTACTGGATTTCAGTTTTTAAAGAACATTACATTATCATAATACCTGTAAGAGTGCATATTCACTGAACCAAGCAGGTGAATCTATAGTTTTCTATCTAAAATAAGATTGTGTTTTTCAGACGAGTGTGTGTACACATACTGTTGTCGCTGTGGTGGAGGATTCAGCGTCTCAGAGGAGGAGGTGGAGGAGGAGGAGACGCAGAAGAGGCAGCAGGATGAGGAGGCGGAGGAAACGGTTGAGGGGCAGCACAGAGGAGTGGTTGTCTGCTGTGATACATGTTCCCTCAGTGTGTACGTCACATGGTCATCACATAGAATGACTCCAACGTCAAAGAGACACAAATAAGTGAACTGTGTAACTGTTCAACCTCACAGATTTCATGTTCACGGGGCACCAATAAAACAGCGTACTGAAAACCAACCATGGGGGTAGTGTGTATGTTGAGTAGAAGTGTGTATGGTCATGCTTCTCTTTGTATACAATTTATAAATAATATAAATATAAATACAGACTATTTCTATGTTCAAATATCTCACAAAGCAAAATAAATCACAAGCATTCCAAAAACAGGTACTTACATTTCCTCATACACTACAGAGAATTTGATGAGGTATTTCCTAAAGGTTATTGATATTATTTTATTCAGGAGCTAATGGATGTTATTGGCGGACCAGAAATACCATCATGGGGATTGTTCATGGGTAATGTGATGCCAAAGCACTAAGAGGGCGATGGTCTATCCTGTGAGATTTTACTCAGGCACCGTGAGGGGTGACTAGACTCTGGGGTCCTCACTACATGTCCAAACCTGCCTGCAAGCTGGCATGATGCTGCTGAGCATACCTGATGCTGCTCATCAACTACGTCTCACACAGACGCATAACCAGCAGCCTACTGTCCGCTCAAAGCCAGGAGCACAGTTAAACAGATGTAGGTACATAGATATAGATATGTGTTCCATTGTGCTCATTAATTCACTAATTCAAATCACCGATATTCTAGTGGAAGACAAGATGATAACACTTTTTAAAATGCAGATATACTGGTATCCCGGTCCGACACAATATATGGGTCACAGCCTGGTGTCTTCATATCGTGGATTAAATGAATGGATCTACCTCAGTTGTAGAGCATCTCTGCATCTGGTACCATGTGCAGTTTAGGCAGTGGCTTTTTGAATACAATGTGTATGTTTGACATCAGAGTGACAGAGCACACAGACCTTTTTTATTTCAAAATGTGTGTGTCAAAGAACACCAATGCATTCCTTTCTAATTGTAGATATAAAAAATGAGGATACATTAAGCCAGATTCATGAGGAAAAACTCTGCATCTGAATCAACAACAATTCAGCAAATCTCGTGACAGTTTCTTCATGTTCAAAACAGTGATTTTAAGTCACTAGAGAACAGTTCAACAGAAGAATGAGGGTCCGTTTTTCATGGTGTTCAATGGAATTAATTATAACAGTCAGTAGTTCTGTGAAAGCAGCCAGAAACAAAAAAAAATCTCAAACATGAATATCCTATGACCCATAAAAATTATCCTGTGACCGCCTGGGGTCCTGAACTCCAGGTTTAGCCGTGGTGCCCTAAATGACAGCGCTATTGTCCTCTCAGCGGGGCTGCGACAGACACACAAAGGGATAAAGGCTGGTAATGACTCTGCTCTCTCGTTGGTCACTCAGCCTGCAAAGGTCACAGCTGACAGAAGCTCAGGGTGATGATCGTCTCTCATCTATTACCCCCCCCCCCCCCATCCATCCATCCATTTCTGTTTTCCTCAGAGAGGAGGCTGGAGGAAAGAGAAAGTTAGGATGTGACTGAAAAGAAAGAAGGAGTGGAGGGGTGACATTTCTTGTTTGAATGAACTGCTAATTATCTCTTGAGCATCATCTAAATCAGCGGCAGTGGTCAGCAGCGTAGTATTTCTAATGAGACACTGAGAGAGGGTTGGTGGGGTGGGATGGGCTGACAGCTGATGTTTAAATGAGGGGTTGGTAGAATATTTATGTGACAGCCACAGAGACGTGCTGGGATGTGCTGGGATACAAAATCACTTTCACCAACACACCTCCTACAATTACAGCGCTTTAGATCACTTTCCACCAAACCAACCCTCAATCACCCCACCCCCTCCACAACTCCATCCCTACCCTGTTTACACACTGTAAAATCTTTTCATCTCTTTAATCAAATCGACTCATCCATCATTAGTAAAGCACTGTAATTAGTTAAGGAATAATTCCATTTTGGAATTTTACAACCCACAGGCTCACGTGTGATATGGGGCCTTGCAGTGTGTTACCATGACTGACTCTTCTCATTTCAAAACTGCAGTGGACTTAAAATCTACTTCTCTGCTAATATTTACATTGGTCTATATTCAGAATATTAAAGCCAGCTTCTTAGCTCAGTCATCCTCAATTATGCCTCTTCACCTGCAACAGACAGTCGCCAGAGGCATTATGGTTTTGGTCTGTCTCACCATTCTCATGAACAATACATTTCAAAAATGCCAGAGAGAATTGACCTTACAAATCAACATGTTTGGTCTTAGTAACCTAACACCTTGAGGGAATTCCCTAAAAAATTGGTTCAAATGTTCACTTAGACTCAAAGATGAACTAATTTAAATTTTGGTGATCAAAGGTCAAACCTCAAGGTCACAGTGACCTCACGTTCTTGTGAATGAGATATATCAGATACCTGAACTGTAATAATTTCAAATTTGATGAAAACTTCCACTTGGATTCACTGGTTAGCCTGTGGGGAATTTCTTCAGATTTTGACCCGTTGTCACTTGTACTTCAAAATTGATTAGATTTAAGTGTTTAAAGGTCACATTTACCTTATATGAAACTGGGGAAAAAAACTATATAGCAGACATGTTAAACTCAAGGCCCCTGGTACAATTATATCTGGCCTATGTCTATCTTAACTGGCCTGCCGGTAAATATAAACACTTTTTTTGTGAAAAAAGCTTTATAGGCCGAGCCATGGTGTACAATATCTCGCCAGGTGCACACAGAATGAGCACCCCAGTTTTTAATTTTGGCCCTCTCTGTGATTGAGTTTGGCACCACTGATATATAGAATGGAATTGCATTGGCTGATGAAAGCATACATATGCAGTGTGTCATTTCTAGTTTATCCAGTTTTAAGTCACATTTTTAGGATAAGCTTTTAAGATTTTGGTGCTTTTTAAGTATTTTTGTTGAATGAACGAAGGATTTTAGTTGTTGAATGTTAAGTGAGAAAAATAAGAGCAGCAACTCTGAGTGACTACCAATGGACATACATTAAGGCTAGCCATAACCTATTATGATGTCATGTTTAATTGGATTTTATAATTGTATTGTTATTATTTGTTGAAATAATGAAAAAGAGAAACTACAAGAATTCAAAGGTAAAGTAACTGTTACAGTCAACGTAATGTCAATGTAATGGTTGGAATCTTTCAAACAGTGGAAAATTACAAACAATAACACAAAGAGTAGTAGTTTTCAGAAAGTAAAAAGTGCAGACATAATTGCTGCTTTCCGAAATGCACTGAACTTAGCGCTCTCTCTGTAGGAGGTGCATGTGTAAATGCAAATGTCCTTGTGAGAGCCTCTGGATGATCAGACTTTCTCCGCCTGGCCTCCTAGTATAAAGTCTGCACAAAGTCATAAGAATCAGGTCCCCGCTGGATTCACAGCGGGCAAGTGGGCGGCATTGATGACGCTTCTAACACGCAATAGACACAAGAGAAAAAGCGCTAGCATAGTGGGTTGTGCTGGCACCCCATGTATAGAGGCTGCAGTCCTCGCTGCAGTGGGCCCTGGTTCGAAATCCCACATCCCCCTCTCTCTGCCCCCTGCTTCCTGTCTCTCTTCAACTGTCCTGTCCATTGGAAATATACTTAAAAAGAAAACACCAACAAAGATCTGAACAAAGTTTCTGAGAAGAAACAACAGTGTAAACAGTGATCTCTCTGCAGCGTAGTTAATACATGACTTCCTGCCTGTACCTGCTGCACCATCCCTCACTGGAGTAATGTGGTTGCTATTGCTATTGTCAGATGCAGTTCTCTCCATTCCAAGACTGGAACCATATCTGACCATTGAAGAGAATTCGACAAGTACTTTTTTTGAAAACATACTCAGGGATCCATGTGGGGGAAGATAAAATAAAAAGTAGCTTGGTATCATCAGTTAAATTACTCTTTTCTAAAATGAGGTTTTATTAGCACTGTTGCACTTACTTCCACTCTTGCCTCTATGTAAAGTTAGATAATCATTTACTGTAACTTATTTTACTTTATATACAGTGAGACTATAAGTTATAAATCAGAATATCTAATGAGTTGTTCAGCCTGGTCACAGCTTCATACATTTTTACAGTGTATCCTGTCCTTGGTTTTGAAAGCTCCACCCCTCTCCATCCTGCAATTAGAGCCCTCAGATCAATCTCTCTGTCTAACCCCTATCTCTCCTCTCCTTCACTTCCTCCTATCCTTTCTCACTCTAAGCACGTGTAAATAGACCTATTTAGCCCCCCCACACAGTCAACGCTCTCTACCTCTGTCTGTGTTTCTGTTTGGGTGGCTGACAGTTGTGTCAGGGTGATAGAGGGGGTGGAGGTGTTGATGGATGTACTGAATAACTGTCAGGATAATAACTGTGAAATGGTGGCATTGCCCTTTAATAACTGTCCCCTGAAGACTGATGAATGTGGATTATATGCTGTGATGATACACAGTCATCTGAAAACCTCCTTTCCTAAAAAAAACCCCCAAAAAAACCTATTAAACATTCTTCTCAATTACGGAATGTTTTCAAGTCTTTTCAATTTCTCGTGTTCATCGCTCTGAAGACTTCTTCATCT